TCATCATTAACCCTTCAGTCCTGACCACAAAACCGAACCTCTGAAGGAGCCCCAGAATCTCCTCATTCTAGTAAATGATTACATGAGAGGAAAAAACAAATATTGTGTCCCCAGTGCCTGAGAAGGATCTGGTACATAGCAAAATTGTTTTAGAATGTTTTTTTACAATGGCATAGTCTCTCTCTCTCTCTCTCTCTCTCTCTCTCTCTGAAAGAACTTTGACTACAAAACAATGAAGCTAGTAGGGCACGATGACATACAACTGTCATCCTTCCAATGGCTCAGGAGGCTAAGGAGGAGGATTATAAATTCAAAGCCAGCCTCAGAAACTTAGCAAGGCCCTAAGCAACTTAGTGAGACCATGTCTCAAAATACAAAAAAAAAAAAAAAAAAAAGGGGGTGGGGGACTGGAAATATGGGGATGTGGCTCAGTAGTTAAGTGACCCTGGGTTCAATCCCTGATTTAAAAAAAAAAAAAATCCCCAAACCACTGAAGCTGATTTTTCTGCACCTCCAGTCAGTGGGCTGATGCTGACATGGAGTCGTGAAAAAGCAAGGCTGTGAGATGCTGGGGTGGAATGGTGCACAGTCCCCCAGGGCAGGGTGGCACACTAAAGGTCCAGAGCTGGGGCAGGAGCCTAGTATGGTTCTTCTCTATTGCTAGCCAAGCAGGAGACTCTGGGCAGGCCACTTACTGGCTGTGGTCCTCAACATGATGATGCTTGCAGTGGGAAGGGCTGCATGGCACCAGGTAGGGCTCATATAACCCAGGGCTCACAGGTAAAAAGAGGGGTCTCTAAGGCTTTTCCACATTACAAAGAAGGTAACACAATGAAACAAAGAAATAAACCCCCAATCCCAACTACTTCAAAGGACATTCTTTTATGTTTGAATCATGCTTAAGAAAAAACTTAGCCAGGTACAGTGGTGCATGCCTGTAATCCTAGCTACTCAGGAGGATGAGGCAGAAGGATCACAAGTTTGAGGCCAGCCTCAGCAACTTAGAGAGACCCTGTCTCAACAAGAATTTTTAAAAGAGCCAGCCAGGGATACAGCTCAGAGGTAGAGAGACTACCTAGACTCAAACTTCAGTACTATTTAAAAAAAAAAAAAAAAAATTCTGGTAAGCCTCACCCAGTACCCAGAAGGTTGGGGTACAGCCCTTGCCAGTGGCACTTTGGACAACAAAGCCCTCTCTAGAGGAACCTACAATGCCCTCCTCCCTCCCGCCAGCACAGATATGCACTGCTGTGGCAAGCAGAGGGGATCCCCTCTGAAGGAGAGATGGGCCCAGGTGCAAGCAGTTCTGCCCCTGGCTAACTGGATGTTCCAGGCACTCACTGGGCCTGGTTCCCGCCTGTGACGCAGGAGTAACTTAGACCCCTCATCATCATCTCCCGCTGTCCCCAGATGCTGTATGCTGATGACTCAGGGATTCAAAGGCCCACCACAGACCATCATGAGGCCTGGGCTGAGACTGTGGGAGTACAAGTCTCTGCTGTGGCCCCATGCCTCAGGAAGTCATTGTTGAGAGGACAGAGTAAGCCATGAGAAAATGCTACAGAGGGGCAAGGACATTTCTTCAGCAGATGCAGCTGTAGAGGCCTGGTTCCTTGGACATTCACTGGCTATAGGAATGGTCTCTCCACATTGGCTGGCTTCTTCATGGGTTGTGCACTCCCCAGAGAGGTGTTACTCCACTCCCAACAGGAGCCCATGGTGCTGGGAGGAACAGCAAAGAGCAGCTGAGACCACGCATGCTATCACCTGGGTGTGCTCACACTACTGACCCTCTGCTCTGAACACACTCAGAGGGAACTGTCAGGGACAAGGCTGGGATGAAGCCCAGATGTGCACCTTCTGTCCGCCTCCCCAACCAAGGACCCCACTGAAGACTCATGCTCACCACTTCCAAAGCCCTCCTCAGTCCCCCAGGTCTCCACCCACATGGACAGTCCTGTTTATGGCTCCAGGAGGGGCAGAAACAGGCCTGGCTGAGCGATGAGAAAATGGAAGCACATGAGAGAGCGAAAAACGGCCTTGCTGGAGTGGACACAACCCAGTAGGCACTCTTGGTTCCTGCACAAAACAACTGACAAGGGCTAGTGGGTCTCAGGTACAAGATCTGAACAGTCAACAGGCTCCCTACAGCCTTCCAAGGAAATCCAAGACTGTTGCTTCCTAAGTCAGTCCTCACCCTGGCACTTGCCTGGCATGCTGCAGAAACAGAGCTCTGTGACCCCAAGCTCCAGGGTGCTGTCTGTGACTTCAGCCTGCTGGGGATTCCCAGGCACTGCTGAGGTCAGGGGGGCTGAGGCAAAGGTCAACAATGTCTTGGGAGTTTTTCACTGTTTCTGAGATTTTCAATAAATAAATAAAAAGGCTTAAGGACCACAAGCTTCAGCACCGTCCATTTAGCAAACACAAACTGAGCTTCTGGGTCTGGTTTTTGAAAGCTCAGCCAAGGCTTTGGCCACTGAGAAGCAGCAGCACAGCCAGGCTCATTCCAATTTACAGCACTAAGATGGCCACACAGAAATGAGGAGATGCCATAGAAACCTCTTGTGGAACTTAAAACACACTCCCACCTGTTATATATTTTAATTCTACATTTTCTCCTGATGGCTTAGTGAGACTGCCAAGTTTAAAGGGGAAAAATTAAAAAAAAAAAAAAAAAAAACTCAAATACTTTTTAACCCCCACAGGATCATCATTCCTTTCTCTGACATGGAAGGAAGGGAAATTAGGAGATGATGTTTCTCACTGAACCCAGGGCTGGGTGTCATTCATGGTGGCTGTACACAATGGAGCCACAGACACACACACGCATACACACCAGACACGTTTACTCACACTATACACACAGGCATGCATACATACCACACACGCTAGCACACATCCACAGCTAAAACTAGTTTAGTATGAGCTCAAAGCAAAGGCTTGGTCCAAACCATTCCAGTTTCTGAAACTAATGGTTCAGCAAGGTATAACAAAAATAAAACAGTAAAATCTTCTTAAAGAAGGGTGGTGAGGTTTCTTTGGCAATGTCCCCCAGATCCTCTTGCAGCGAGCCATAAACCACACCCAATAGGAGGCAGCACCAAGGAAGGGACTACCCCAAAGCCATCATTTTTCCTTCTGATCCTGGCATCAGATTTTTTCCCTTTCCTGAGCCTTCAGTGTCTGGCCATGAAGGAGAAAACTCCCTACACCTGCTTCTGTTGGGCTATTGCCTTCCGGTGGAAGGGCAGGAAGGGCCACTGTGAGACCATACCCTCCCTCGGGCTCAGAACCAGAGGCTAATAGGCCTCCCTCCTGCCATGCAGCAGGAACTGGGGGCCACTCAGGGCTCCAGTCAGAAAGGTACCAAGTGAGCTGCTCCTGTGCTCGGTCAGCCTCCATAACCAGCTCGCTCACCTGCACACCTGGACCAGAGCAGGGCAGCAAAAAGTAGGGTTCATCTCAAGAAGCAAAGAAGAGGAGGAAAGCTGGGGAGGAGGGGAAAGTCCTCATGAAAGTCACAAATCCTGTATGCTACAGCCAGCCTGATACTGACCCTGTTGATGCATTAATATCCTTACAGCCTCAGCTTCACGTGTCCCCTTTGTTTAAGAAAAATGTGAACTTAATAAGTAATGCCTTTAAGAAGGTTTTTGGGCTACAAATTCTAAGTTCTTAATAAAAAACAAATTAGCCTTTATTATCAAGAAGAGAGTGGGGTTTCCCTGCAGTGGTCCCCTTAGCTGGCCCCCATCATGCCTAGACACTTGGCTGGCAACACACCCAGGGTGACAGCGGAACGCTACCTGGGCCACTCACAGGATGTCTGCTGCAAGCACTGCCACTTCTCTGTTAAGAGGCCTCTGGAAACAGCTGCGTGGGCACCAAGCCCCATGCAGGGCCTATCCTGTGCCAACACCACAGTTCTAATGCATCCCAAAGAGAACACCAGACTGCCAGAGCCAAAACTGCTGGGGGAGGTAAGGAGCAAGGGACTTGCTATTTTCAATAGAGTGGATCTTACCCACAAGGTGACGCTTGAGCAAAGGCCTAAAGAAGCTCTGAGAGCAGGTCAGCCGCATGGGCCTCTGGGGGAAGAGATGCCAGGCAGAAGGACCAGCCAGAGCAAACAGCCTGAGGCCAGTTGGGGGGGCTGGGAGAAATGCTCCTTAAGGTCTGGGTAGGGTTGGGACAAAAAGGGTCAGGAGTTTGAGGAGAAATTAGGAAATCATAGCTGAGGTCAGAGTACAAGGGCCAAAGCCTGCCCACAGCCACACCCATTTGTTTACAGTAAGACAATGCCACCACAGCAGAGCTTCTGAGAGCTGTGACAGACTGTGTGGATGGCCCACAGAGCCTGGAAGATAAACTACTTGGCCTTTCAGCTTGAAATAGGACAGTGGAGAAATACACTCATGTGCCAAGTTCTCCCCGTGGCTCACAGGAGCTCAGGGGTCATGAATTCAGACTGGTCAACATGGTTGTACGTTCTCCTCTGGCCATGTGCCACTGCACTGACAGGTGGCTACGACCAGGCTTGTGGCTTTCCTAAGCAAGACCACGAAGGGAGAGGTGCCAGCCTTTTCCTGTCTGCCATAACTGGGCCATGCTGCCATAGGGCCTTCTTTGGTGCCCAGCCCAATGTCTGTGTTTCACCTTCATGGCCTCTGGGAGATGGCAGGGACAGAGGCTCAGCATTTAGTGACTGGATCAGCACAGCTATGAGGTTGGCCAAGACCAGGAGCCTGAGCTCTGAACTTCTAGGCCCACTACTCTCCACCCCAGCTGCGCAGAATCACTTAATGAGAGAGGTAACAAAGGCCAATGCTGACCTCAACCCCAGATTACACTAATGAGCCTTTGCAGGGTGCTGATCATGCTTCCATGTTTTTGAAAGTCCCAAGTGGCTGTGATGAGCAGCCAGGGTGAAGACACCTGCAACCCTGCTGGTGTTCCTGCTTTTACCCCCAACCCCAACAATCCCCTTTCCAGCTACTCACCTCTGCCCTGCCAGCTCTGGCTGTCTCTGTTCTGTTCAAAACCATCCCAACCAAGACTTTGGGAGATATCACTTGGGGTCTCTCTTTGGCATGAGCTCTTCATAATTCTCAGCTGGATTCTGGTCCTGCTATGGACCCTGAGGGCTGAGATTGCTAGCCTTCATCCAAAGAGGGTGTTGTTTCCTCTTCTCAAACTCAAGTCTCACTGTGTTCAAGATCAACAGAACTATCAAAAAAGAAATGCCACAGGTCTTAGGACCAGAAATGCCACTCTCCAGCCACATGCTATACAGCATTTAGTCAGTTTTGCATTTTATTACCCTCCCTTCCTTTATTAAAAACACCCCCCACCCAACCCATGGCACCTTTAAATTTTCCGTTTTCCTTACTGAGACATCAAAATGGGGTGTCTAAAAATCTCACTTTCTTATTATAAAACCTCATTTCACAATCGTCCCTTTAAGACTTAAAGTTACTATGTGTGAAACTAGTCATGGTTCTTGCTACATTAGAAAGTAAGCTAAGCACCATAATTGATAAATCTTTTTATAACTTAGTTCTTAAATTCCACAAAGGTGAGGTTGAACTTTTATGTATTTCAACCAACAGGCTTCATTTTGAAAGTCATTAATAAGTTATCTGGGACCTGGGGAACATTTCTTTCCATGTAAAATTATCACTAAGATGGTACTTAAGTATCTATGCTAATAAGCTAATGTCTATTCAACTCATTGGTCCTTTTCTGACTTAAAATAAGAAAAATGCGTCAGACATAGTAGCACACATCTATAATCTCAGCTATTCAGGAGGCTGAGGCAAAGGATAGCAAGTTTAAGGCCAGCCTGGGCAATTTAGTGAGATTTTATCTCAAAATAAAATTTAAGGGGGGGGGGGATGGGCACTGGGAATGTAGTTCAGGGGTAGAGCACTTGTCTAGCACATGTGAGGCCCTGGGTTCAATCCCCAGTCTGCAAAGAATAAAATAAGAAAAATGTTATTATAATACAAGAAAATATTTCTGTGTGTTTGAATGTGTATATACAGACAAGAAAATCAAGTGTGAACATGTATGGGGTGTACATGCAAAACTCTGCTACTAAAGGAAAAGAAACTTCAAGTTAAGAACACAGAAGTCAATTCATGGAGATTCAGAAGAGACTTCTGAGTGGAGAACTCTGATGCTAGTGGATCTCCACTGACCTGCTATCCTACACAGTAGGTGTCACTGACATTGCTCACAGGTTTTTGTCTTAACTGGTAACCTGGGCAGAGGGAAGGGGTTTAGCAGCTGGAAAGCCAATGGACAGTGTGGGGAGCAGAAAATAGATAAGAGGATAGAGGGGCATGGTTGTCATATGCACAAACTACCAAAAGGAAAGAATGCCGCTCCCTCCCCTTCTCTAAGAAACTCTCAGTTCAGAAGCCTGGGTGTGGTTCCTCAGGACTGACAGAAAACACACACATGTGAAACAAGTATTTAGAAAGAGAGAGATGGAAATAAAACTGTGGGTTTCCATCAAAAACAGACAGACATTGTCACCATGGGTCCTGTCTTCTCACTCCTCTGAGTTTGATGGCTGGTGTATCCTGGGACAAATCCTATTTCCAAAACCATAAATGAAGGCTTTTTGGACAAGGCCTATGAATTGAGTGTGCTCTGCTAGTATCCACCTGGGTGACTTCTCTGAACCTATAGTCAGTCTCTCGTTTGTAAAACTGAATGACACACATTTGTCATTCAGGATAGCTGGAGGATTAAATGAAGTAGTGCTCTCTGAGACACAGCAACCAGCACTCAGTGAGGTTTCAAATGCTGGTGACCCGTTATAATCTAAAACAGGGAAAGTCTATCACCTCTTCTGAGATAACCTCAAGGGTTAGCCTCAAACACACAAGAGAAGGTTCCTTCCTAAGCTTCTGTGGGAAAGGGTGGGAGATGGCGCACAGCCAGATGGGCAGGGATTGGCCTGCACACACAGCCAGGGAATCAGAGGGAGAACAAAGGAAATTCAAAACCTGAAGCCCTCCACTGCAGAGACATCAGGGCTGAACCAGGGCAGATACCCCCAACAAAAGCAGGGACTTAGCACAGAGACAAGCAAGGAAGAATGTTCTGCTCTCTAGGCAAGGAGATAAGGAGACATGTCAGCTCCTTAGGGGACCTAAAACCCAGCAACTGAGGGACTTCGGCAGCCTGGGGCCAGTGACTATGGCACTGAAAGAGAAGAAGGATGAGCTGAAGATACAGAACAGATTTTAGAACATGAACTACTATAAATTTTCATTAGGTCATTCATAACATATAAATGCAAATAAATATTTATATATATACATATACATATTCATATATATATATATATATTCCTATTTTAAGACTCCTCCTTCTATTACTTCTTTCCATTCAAATTGTGTAATGATATTTTTAAATCTTTGTCCTCTACTCCCATCCCCCAAAGCAGGAACTGCAAGTTCTGTCGGCTCTCTCCCTCTGCCTACTAGAGGGCCTGGCCCAGAGCAAGGTCCAATAAATAAGTCAACCATGTGCTCCCCCTCCCAAAATCGTCTCTCCTGAAAGTCACCTGGCCTTGCCCATATGACTTCTTCTCAGTGCTTTGCCAAGCCACCATGCTGGGCCATTTCACCTGTGTGATCCTATCTAATTTCCAACATGGCCTATAGGTTGTTCTACAGTCAATATACAAATGAGGAGGAGGAGGCTGCCCAAGGCCACTCAGCCATAGTGAAACTACAATTCACTCATTCAACTAGCAAGATACAGCCATAGCACCTGAGCATGACACTCTCATTTTTTTTTCAAATCAATAAAACAATACAGGAAATAGAGGTTTATCTGTTCATCATGGGAGTTCTCAGCAACATCATCATGGCCCCTAGCCATGAACAGAGCGAGAAAAGAGCTGTAGCCACCACTCAGCCTTCCCAGCCTCAGAGTTCACATTATGCACAGGATAGGCATAGATAGAGAACAGTCTTCATAAGGCTGCTATGAGATGTGACAGGTAAATAATGTCCCTTTAAAAATGTCCACATTCTAATCCCTAGAAGCTGTAAATGTTACCTTTTATGGCAAACTATCCAGATGCTTGAACCCAAGAACTTGAGGTGGGAAGATTATCTTAGATTATCCCGGTAGGCCCTACGTGCCATCACAAACATCTTTATGGAAAAGAGGTTGAGGGAGATTTCAGAGGAGAGAGAGCAAGGTCATATGACAAGAGCAGAGAAAGCAGACTCACAGAAAAAAGATGCTACACAGGTGACTTTGAATGATGGAGGCAGGAGACCACTAGCTAAGGAATACTGGCAGCCACCAGAAGCCAGAAGAGGCTAGGGATGGATTTTCCCCTAAAGCCACCAGGGAGCATGGCTTTGCCAATACCTTGATTCAGCTTACGGAATCGCATTCTGAACGTCTAGCCTCCAGAATGGTTAGAGAATTAATTTTTGTCATTTTAAGCCTCCAAGTTTGTTGTAGCAGCCACAGGAAGCTAACCCAGAAGATGAAATGGGAAGAGGACATGAAGCAATTAGCATACTACCTGGCACATGGTAGGAACTCAAGAAATCCCTATTAGTGAAAGACAGGTCCTGCCATCCTGTCTGGACAACCAGCCCATCTCCCAAAGCTGTGTGGAAACTTATTCTGTATGACCAGTTCTGTGCCCCACTCACAAAAGCACCTTCATGTCTCACTTTATTCTGTCCCAAAAAGGAGTTTCCAAGGCTGCCCACTGACTCTTCACTCATCCCATATAAATGTGATTTTGCCATGGGCACTTGTGTTAAAACAATAAGTACAACTAATTCAAGCATTTCATAGGATGGCCAGTGCTGAGATCTCACAGAGTAGACCTTCCCGACCTTAGGCATAAAGGGCTATGATCAGGACCACCTTACCTGAAGAAACAGCCCAAGCCCTTCTTTCAGCCACAGGCCCTGCAGCTGTCAAAGGAGAAGCTAGTGTCCAGCTCCTGCCCTGCCAGGACCCACACCAGAGAAGGGCAGGTTGGTGAACAGAAGAAGGGCTGAGGTGGCTTGTGTCTGGCCCTCTAAACTGCTTCTCAGCATCTTTTCATGCAAAGAGCTACCCCTGTGCTCTAAGCCCCCTTCTTTAGCCCTTGTCCTGTGCAACCTGCTCTCCATTTTCCTTCTTGAGGGGTGAGTCCAAGTGTCGAAACCCACTACATGCAATAATTCCACTTCCTCCCTGTTCTCGGCCTCCCCCATGCAGACTGCAGCCTCAGCTTCCTCTGGGTTGCTTTGAGGATGAGGCCCTGTGATCCTGATAGCCCTTCTGCCCTTCCCTCTGTCCTCTTCAGTTTCAAAGTCATGGCTGTGCTGTCCCAAGAGCCCTGCCACCCTGACTCCAACCCTCCTCTCCATCCTGCACACAATACAATAACGACTGTCCCTCTAACCAAGCCATAACAGCCCACAGCCACAAAAAGTCCAGGGTGGAGTCCCAAAACCTCAAGAGTATTTCAGAGAAATATGAACAAAAAGAAGTAGCCTGTTCCCTTCCTGGGCGCCACCATCTGCAGGTCCTCTGAGCTGTCTTCTTTGCACCTTTTCTTCTCTGCCCTTTTGCCAGGGCTGGGTTCACTCGATAGAGACCTCGCTCCAAAAGCGGGCTGAGACTATCAGTGCAGGAAGATGGCCATGGGTGTGCACAGAATGAGCCATGGCCAGGAGCAAGAGCCACCTCAGTGTTCCTCAGCCACAGGCATTGCACACAGCAGACCCAGTGGCCTAAAGTCTAAATTCTGCCAGATTTTCACTCCCCCTCAGAGGCTCAGGCCTCCGATCTGTCCTAAATCCCACATGGGGACTTATAGGCATTCTCACAGGTACATGCCTGTGACTTCTCTGTGGGTAGTTATCATCCCTGTTTTCTGGCTCTCCGCAGAGCCAGCTTAGTAATTGAGGCTTCCCTTGTGTCAAAAAAACACCTGCTAGGGGAGTGAATGAGAATGGGCAGGTTTACCCCAAGGAGCTCCTTCACCTCCCAGTCCTGCAGGTGGGACCTCACAGGAGTCCTCTGCCTCCATGACACTGTCTTGTGACATACTTTGACACACTCCACCTGTGATAAACTACTATGCCACCTCAGAGATTGAGAAGCTAAAGACAACCATCCCATGTGATTCTATATGACATGTATTTACAATGCCCTTGTCAAGGTTACTCCCTTCCCCCTCAGAGTAC